TATCTATCTATCTATCTATCTATCTATCTATCTATCTATCTATCTATCTATCTATCTATCTATCTATCTCCTTATCTACTTGTTTATTTTCAAGACAGGGTTTCCCTGTGTAGTTTTGGAGCCTGTCCTGGAACTTGCTCTGTAGATCAACCTGGGTATGAATTCTTAGAGATCTGCCTATCTCTGACTCCTGAGTGTTGGGATTAAAGACGTTCGCCTCCACGCCTAGTGTGCTCTTAACTTGTTTTTTGTTTTGTCTTGTTTAGTTTTTTGAGACAGCGTTTCTCTGTAGCTTTAAAGCCTGTCCTGGAACTGAGGCTGGCCTCAAACTCACAGAGATCCGCCTGCCTCTGCCTTCTAAAGTGCTAGGATTAAAGGCGTGCGCCACCCCCCAACCCCCGCATGCTCTTAACTTTTAAGTCCTCTCTCCAACCACCATTTCACCCCCTGAATTGCAAACAACATTGTGACGAATTTTTCTGTGTTTAAAAAAGTTTTTTGACAATTTTTCTTTAGAATCAGTTCTGTTAGAAACAAAATCTCTGGGAAGGAAAATATCAATTTTTTCTTTTCTTTTTTTAAAGATATATAGTGTTCTGTCCGCATGTTTGCCTGAACGCCAGAAGAGGGCACCACATCTCATTGTAGATGGTTGTGAGCCATCCTATTGCTGCTGGGAATTGAACTCAGGACCTCTAGAAGAGCAGCCAATGCTCTTAACCTCTGAGCTATCTCTCCAACCCAAAAGTATAAATTTTTAAGATGCCTATTAGCAATTTCTAGATAATGTGGGGTGGGGTAGGGTTTTAATTTCTTCCTTTCTTCCCCTTCCTGTGGCAGTTTCAGACTTTGTGAGCCTGTAAAGAATTTGGTACAGACATCCCTCTCCTTTACTAGGAGACTGTAGGTGTGTCGGTCCTGTCTGGTGCAGCCTGTGACCCAGTTCCTGACCTGGAGGGGGCTAATGAATGCTAAGTGGGCTCTCAGAAGGCTCCTGGGAGGAAAGACTGAGTAGATGGCCATGTATGTCTTAGTCTTTTCAAATCAATGAGTTTTGTTTTTTTCCTTAAGATTATGGCTGGGTGTGGTGGTACATATCTTAAAACCCAACATTCAGGAGGCTGAGGCAGGAGAATCTCCATCTTGGTCTACATAGCAAGCTTCTATATAGAGACGCCTGGTCTCAAAAACAAAATTATTTTTATGTGTATAGATGTTTTTGTCTGCAAGTATGTATGTGCACCACATATGTGCCTGTTGAATCCCCTGGAGCTGAGGTTATGATCGTTGTAAGCCACCGTATGGCTGCTGGGAATTGAACCCAGGTCCTCTGCGGGAGCAGTAAGTACTTTTTCCCCCTGGTTTTTAGAGACAGGGTTCCTCTGTGTAGCTTTGGAACTTGTTCTGGAACTAGCTCTTGTAGACCATGCTGGCCTCGAACTCACAGAGATCCACTTACCTCACCTGCCCGACTGTAGTAAGGACTCTTAATTGCTAAGCAATCTTTCTAGCCTACCAAGTCTCCAGTGTTGGAGGCTAAGGTTCCATTCTTCCTGTCTTTCCTCCTTCCCTCCTCTGTGTCTACATGTGGTGCTAAGAAGCCCTCCTCAGATTCTTGATTCTCTGGAGTATGGTTTGAATGAGAATGACCCTCATCAGCTTCTGTATTTGAATGCATAGTCCCTAACTGGTAGGCTGTTTAGGAGGTGTGACCTTGTCTGAGCATTACTATTGCTGTGAGGAAACACCATGACTAAAGCACCTTGGAGGAAAGAGTTTGTTTGGTCTACATTTTCACATCACTGTTTATCACTGAAGTTAGTCAGGACAGGAAAAACAAGGCAGGAACCTGGAGGCAGGAGGTGAAGGAGGAATACCGCTTACTGGGTTATTCCCCTCGACTTGCTCAGCCTTCTTTCTTATAAAACAGCCCAGGGGTGGCCCCACCCATAATGGACTTGGCCCTTCCCATCAATCATTAATTAAGAACACGCCCTCCTGGCTTCCTACAAACTGATCTTAGAGAGGCATTTCTCAGTTGAGGGTCCCTCCTCTCTGATGACCCTAGTGAAATTACCTGAGAAGGGAACACAGGACACTCAACAAACCTGCTTAGGAGTTTGTTGTTGGGGGGGTGTACAGGTCTAGTGAGGTCGGTGTGGAGAGAGGGGGAGGGGGAGGGGGTAGAGCCTAGCGCATACGTGCGCATAGGTGGGGATGATGTGAGTTCACGCATATGTGCAAGAACTTATGCAGCTGCCTTATATGTAGGTGATGCAACCATGCCGCCTGTGGGTCACGCCTGAGGGCTTGTCCGCACACGCGTGGCCCTGAAACCCAGAAGTGTCAGCCATATTGTGGCTGAATCATAACACCTAGCTTGTGTTAATTTGCTATAAAAATTTCCAGAGTAGGCCTTGTTGGAAGACATACGTCACTGAGGGTGAGTTTGGAGGTTTCAAAAGTCCACAACCGGCCCAATCTCTTGCTCTCTACTGCTTGTTGATCAGATGTAAGCGCTCAGTTACTGTTCTAGCACCGTGCCCGCCTGCCCGCAAGCTCCCCACCATGAAGAGCAACAATCTACCCCCTGAAACTATAAGCAAGCCCTCAGTTCAAATCTTCCTATCAGGGGCTGGAGAAATGGCTCAGAGGTTAAGAGCATTGCCTACTCTTCCAAAGGTCCTGAGTTCAATTCCCAGCAACCACATGGTGGCTCACAACCATCTGTAATGAGATCTGGTGCCCTCTTCTGGCCAGCAGGCATATACACAGACAGAATATTGTATACATAATAAATAAATAAATATTTTAAAAAAATCTTCCTATCATAAGCTGCCTTGGTCACAGTGTGTTCTCACAGCTGCAGAACCATAAATGAGTCAGAGAGAGAACAGACAGACATCTACTTTGTGTCCTTTTCTTCGTCTCTGTCTCTATACCATTGTCTATACCTCTGTCTCCATCACAGAAGGTGTGGCATAGGAGTCTGTTGGTGAAGAGCACAGGGATCCTTCACTGGCCTGCAGCGCAGAAGTGCACTAACGTGCAGTCTGTCCTCAGCTGCATTCCTAAGCTCCTGCAGCAGGCAGTTCTTGAAGATACCAACACGTGCAGCCTGGGTGGGGAATTAATTGGTCCTCTGTCTTCTTCCTCGATAGTCTTGTCCACATCTTTCCTGGTGCTCTGTGGCACACTTTTTTTTTTTTTTTAACTAGCTTCTACATATCCTTCCTGGTGCTCTAGGGCATACATCCTCCCTTGATCTGTTCACGCTCTTCCTGTTGGCTAGTTGGAAGCAGATCTACAAGTCTGGATACAACTGAGAGGAAACCATGGACCTGGGAGTCCTTGCATATTTGTCTGTAGATCTCTGGAGCATAGGAGGTCAGCTGTGCAAACATCCAGGGCAAGGAGACGGCCAAGGACAGTTCAGGCCTGTGAATGCTTTTTAGTACATGAACAGAAGAAGTAGGCCTTTGAGGAAGTAAACAGAGAAGTGTGGTGTGCTCCGTGGTGAATGCTTTACCATGGAGTGCCATAGAGTGGTGGTAAGGGTTCAGTGGACACAACTCTGGTTGACCCACAACCAGTCAACAGTGCAAGCTTGGTGACCTGAGTTTGGTCCCAGGAGTCCACCTAGAGATGAAAGGAGACAAATGGATTGATGAGGCTGTCTTTTGACCACACATGGGCTCTGGCATGAATGTTCCGTCACTACCATAATCACACATACTCTCATAATGTTGGTAAATAAAATCAAAAAGGTGACCGTTTGGGGCTGTAGCTACTGAGCAGGTGCTTGCCGCACATGCATGAAGCTCTATGTTCAATTCTAGAACTCCTTAAAAAGGGAGGGAGGGAGGGAAGAAGGAAAAAAATGACATAGTCCTTGGATTTGTCATTGGTGTTTTCTGCCTGGGAAGATGTCAAGGAATTACTCATGTAGAAGATTTTTTTTTTTCCAAAGCAAGAGTCTCACAGTGTTAGCTCTGTCTGTCCTGGAACTTCCTGTAAACCAGGCTGGTCTGAAACGCACAGATTCTGCCTGCCGATGCCTTCCAAGTGCTGGGATTAAAGGTGTGCACCATTACACCTGGTTTCATGTGGCAGATTTTGATGATGACAGGCCATGCATAGATCAAGTTGATGGGTGCATAGATGAAGAGTGAGTATCCCAGAGTGACTTCTAGTCATATATGAGGTCAGGTAGGGTGTCAAAGATCTCTCTGACCCTGCTAGTTCTGATGCACCAAGTTGTGGATAAGAAGAGTCCTTGGAGCTATTTTTACAGGAAGTTCCTGGTCTGTTCTTGTAGCTCCAATCAAAACAAACAAACAAAAACCTTAGGAAGCTCAGAATTTGAGGCATTCCCGTGGTAGATGGCGTGCAGGTCTGTGAGGAAGTACAGGAGAAATGGGAAATGTATACTGGTCATAAGAAGTCTCATCCACCACTGTCTAAACATTTTTAGATTGCGGCTGGAAGTCACTCAGTAGTTAAGAGCCTGTACTACTTTTGCAGAGGACATGAGTTTGAGTACCAGGACCCACTATCTCTGGCTTCCAAGAGCATCAACAAACTCAAAAACATAATTAATAAATCTTAAAAAACAATAAAACAGTTTGAGGGGCTTGGAGAGATGGCTCAGAGGTTAAGAGTACTTGTTGCTCTTCCAGAGGACCCGGGTTCAGTTGCCAGCACCCACATGGCAGCTCACAAATGTCTTTAAGTCAGACACTCTCACACAGACATTCATGCAGGCAAAACTCCAATGTACATAAAATAAAAATGAGTAAACTTTAAAAACTTTTTTTTTGTGTATCAAAACAGGGTTTCTCTGTGTCGCCTTGGCTGTCCTGGAGCTCACTCTGTAGACCAGGCTGGCCTCGAGCTCACGGAGATCTTCCTGCCTCTGCCTCCTGAGTGCTGGGACTAAAGGTGTGCGCCACCACTGCCCACCTAAAAAACATTTTGAAATGTAAAATTTATTTTTTAATGTATGTGTGAGTCTGTGTATATCTGTATTTATGTGTCTACATGGCTCTGGACATATGCAGAAGCCCACAGAGGAAACCACTGGACCCCTTAGAACGGGATTTATAGGCCATAAGGTGTCCAGCATATGTGCTGAGATATGAATCCTGGTCTCATAATTGGGCAGTAAGCTCAGGCTCTCTTAGCCCCTGAGCCATGGCTCTCACTCAGTAACCCCACTCTTTAGCCACCAAGTTTCTGTCCTTTGAGAACAACTGTTCCATAGATGTCTCTTGGATAGTTTATATGCATAGAAAACATATACTTTAAAAAAAGAAGTTCTAGTGAGGTTTTCCCCTTTGCCATACTGGAGGGAATCCAGGGCCTAGTACGTACATGCCCACATGGGCTTCACTGTGAGCCATGCCTACAAACTATGTTTTACATCTTAGGTTTTCACTTTTGAACCTTGGAGATTGTTAGTGCTGCTTAGTGTTTGCAAGCATTCTTTATTTTATATGTCTTTATGTGTGCATGCCAGTGCCAATGGCAGTTAGAATTTCTCAAATGCCCTGGAGCTGGATTTACAGGTGGTTATGAGCTGCCCATGGGTGCTGAAACCCAAACTACAGTCCTCTGAAAGAACAAAACGTGCTCTTAACCATTGAACCATTTCTCATCCAGCTCCTGATTGTTAGTTATGTGGGTTTTCTTTTTCTTTTCTTTTCTTTTTTTGTTTTTTGGTAAGACAGGGTCTCATGCAGCTCAAACTGACCTTGAACTAGCTTGGGGTGATGTTGAATTTAATCGTCCTGTCTAGGTGCAAGGATTGCATCTCCCAAGTGCTAGGATTACAGGCATGCATCGCCATCATTGGCAGAATGTTTATTTCTATATATGTTAACCACCATTGTGGGTTTTTTTTCCTCTGAGACAGGGTTTCACCGTGTGACTTTGGAACCTGTTCTAGAACTCATTCTGTAGACTAGGTTGGCCTCAAACTCACAGAGATCTGCCTGAGTAATGGGATTAAAAGCATGTGCCATCACCACCTGGCCCATTGTGATTTTTAAATTTTTTTTCATTTCATGTGCATTGGTGTTTTGCTTGCATATATGTCTGTGAGAGTGTTAGATCTCCTGAAACTGGGGCCACAGACGGTCATTAGCTGTCATGTGGGTGCTGGGTCCTCTGGAAGGGCAGCCAATGCTCCCAAATGCTGAGCCATCCATGTAGCCTCTACCATAGTGCTTTTAAAAATGATTTGGCTGGGCGGTGGTGGCGCATGCCTTTAATCCCAGGACTTGGGAGGCAGAGGCAGTGGATCTCTGTGAGTTTGAGGCTGGCCTGGTCTACAAGAGCTAGTTCCAGGACAGGCTTCAAAGCTACAGAGAAACCATGTGTCAAAAAACCAAACCAAAACAAAAAACCCCAAAACAAAGATTGTTTATATTTTTATGTATTTGTGTATGTCTGCAATTGTTAGTAGGCACATGTATATGCCAGTGCCCATGAAGGCCACAAGAGGTTCTATCAGTCAGTTTTAATTATGTATATGTGTGTGTATCTGTGAGTGTCTGTGTGCATGTGAGTGCAGGTGTGTTTGGAGGCCAGCAGCTCTGGCTCTCCGGGCAGCAGGAGCTAGAGGTAGTTTTGAGCCACCTGATGCTGGTACTGGCAACGGAACTTTCAGGTTCGCTGCAGAAGTAGTAGGTGCTCTAACTGCTGAGCCATCTCTCCGGTCTCACATTTGTGATTTTTAAAATCTTTTTCAGCAGAAACTAAGAAGTTCCTTGTTGTAGGTCATCTGTGTAAGCATCATTTCATACATTCTTTTTTTTCTCTCAACTGTCTGTTCACACACTTTGCTCACTTTTTTCATTCATATTGTCCACTAAGAAAACTAATACTTGCTGGGCGGTGGTGGCACACACTTTAATCCCAGCACTTGGGAGGCCGAGGCAAGCAGATCTCTGTGAGTTCGAGGCCAGCCTGGTCTACAAAGAGAGTTCTAAGACAGCCAGGGCTGTTACACAGAGAAACCCTGCCTTGAAAAGAGCAAAACAAACAAACAAATAAAAACAGCAAACTAAAAAGAAAACTAACCCCTTGTTTCTATGACATTTGGCAAAGAAGTTTTTCCTTTTGAATAATTCAAGTATAGTCCTTAAGATCTTGAGCAATGCTCTTTGGGGACATGGAGAGCCAGTCCCTCAAGGGCCCTGGGAAGCAGGCACCTGCACTCACTGATGCTTAGAGGTTATTCTGTTTTAGTGTACATCAGCTCGAGGTTGGCATAGGAGGATAGGTGGGCTGAGACTCCAGAGTGAATTGTATCTGGGGAGTACAGATGGGGCCTTGTCTTCAAGAAGCTTTTTAAGGCTTTTCTAGGAAATGGGAACCATCTCCACAACCCAGAGAACTCTCCAAAAGGGCAACCCCACTAATGCTTTCCAAAGGCCACTCTGAATAACATTACGTGATCCCCTTGCCCATTTCCTTCTGTTCTCAGGGCACTGAGAGCATAACCACCTACACGTTCAACACGCACAAAGCCCAGCACACCTTCTGTAAGAGATGTGGCGTCCAGAGCTTCTACACTCCGCGCTCCAACCCTGGAGGCTTTGGTGAGTGACGGGTGTATCTGTGGGCTTGGGACCCTGAGGAGCCTGGTGCGCTTGGGGTCTGAGTGCTGGTTGGACAGGTGGGCCCTGGCATGCGTGTCAGAGGAGCAGGGTTCCTCGGATGGGTGCTGGTCAAGTGTCTGGGCATATAGTAGTTTTCCAGAGTCCATCATCTCTAGGGGGTTCTTATACCCTGGTCCCCAAGGGCTGTTGGGAGACCCTACAAGGTAGAGAGAAGATAGGTGGGATGGGGCTGGAGAGATGGCTCAGTGGTTAAGAGTACAGGCTGCTCTTTCAGAGGACCAGAGTTCAATTCCTTCTCTCAGTCAATCTGTAACTACAGTCTTGGGGATCTGGCACATTCCTCTGGTCTTTGTGGGCACTATATTCATGTGATGTATGCAGGCTAAACTATACACATTAAATAAATAAATTTAAAGGAAAGGCGGGTAGGAAATGGGCCTGTGGGTTCGGGGAAGGCCATTGGAATAATGAGGGTGTAAGGGGAGGGGAGAGGCCAGAATGATGGCTGTGACTGGTGGTATCTGAAAACAGGACTGAGGGCTGTGTCTGCAGCTCAGTGGTAGTGAGTACTCACCTGGCACCCATGATCTTCACCCTGTCCTCAACTAGATTTAAAAAAAGTTTAATTTGGTTTATTCAAAAAAGAAAAAAGAGCCAGGTGTAATGGTGCATACCTTTGGTCCCAGCATTCAGGAGGCAGAGGTAGGAGGATCTCTATGAGTTCGAGGCCAGCCTGACCTACAAAATGGGTTCCAGGGCTACACAGGGCTACATACAAAAACCCTGTCTCAAAAAACCAAAACCAAACAAAGAAGCAAGAGAACCAGGTGTGGTAGTGAATGAGAGGTGAAGGTAGAGTTGTCTAAAGTTCAAGGTCATTTTTAGCTAGTTTGTGGTAAGTCTAGGCTAGACACCCTGTCTCAAAAAAAGGAGGAGCTCAGTGGTTAAGATCACTGACTGATCTTTCTGAGTACCTGGGTTCAGTTTCTAGGACCAAAAGGTGGCTCATAACTGTAATCTCAAGGGTCCAGTGCCCTCTGTTCTCCACAGGCTGCACATACACACATATCTGGTCCACAGACAGAATACAGAATACACCCATACACAGACACTAAATATATACTTTTAAAAATAAAAAGAGGAGCCTCTAGAGCCCTCTTCAGGCCCTGCTTGATCTGGAGGAGGGGTGGATACAACCATCCTTGGACAGAGTAAATGAGACTGCCAGGTCCCTGTGTCATAGCTGCTGGATCTGTGGGTCAGCTGTGACTGTGCCATACCTGTGTCCTAGCAGAGAGAGAAGGCAGGGCATCACGCCAGTCTCTCTACTCCGTGTCTTTAGCAGCTGCCGCTGGTTCCTGGTCTGCCAAGTCCTGGTTACCTTGAAACAGGAAAGGGTTTTTTGTTGTTTATTTGTGGGATTATTTCATGTGGGTTTGGTTTTGAGACTCTGTTCTACTGTGTAGTCCAGGCTAGCCTCCTGGCAGGCATGCCCCTTGCTTCTGCCACCTGATTGATGAGATTAAGGCATGTTCTACAATGCCTGCTCAGGAAAAGGTTTTAATGGTTACAAAATCCTGTATAAACTGGAAAGTATTTAGTTCTTTATCTATCTAAACCCAGGAAAGGCCTGAGAATTGTGCCAGGCCTGAACTTCCTAATACTTTCCACATCTGGCTCCGCCCCACCCCTTATATTGGGGATTGACCATAGGGCCTTGTACATACTTGGCAAGTGTTCTATCACTGAGCTATGTCCCAGGTCTCTGAAGTTTTGAATGCTGCCTGGCATTGGCTGACCCTCCTTCAGGGTATCTGACCTTCACGTGACAGGCGTGGACCATAAGGCATAGGCTGAGCTAGAACCTTCTCAGTACACGAGGCCACACAGCATTGTAAACTGAGGTGGCAAGCTGGAGCATGCCACACAGATAGCTCTAGTGGGATAGAGGTGCTCACAGGTGAGGCTTGTCTGACAGATTCTCTGGTCTTACCCACACTGAGGACCCCTCTCCTCTGTTCCACTTGCCCCTAGGAATTGCCCCCCACTGCCTCGATGAGGGCACTGTTCGGAGTGTGGTCACTGAGGAATTCAATGGCAGTGACTGGGAGAGAGCCATGAAGGAGCACAAGACCATCAAGAACATGTCGAAAGAGTGAGCTCAGGCTTCCTCCTTCCCAAGACAGAGAGAGCAGGGCAGCAGCCCTGTGGGTTGCGTGGGTGTGCATCGCTGTGCAGATCTGGGCCGCTATCTCCACTCCCAGTGCCCTGTGGTTCGCTCCAGCCACCATTTCTTTAGGCAGCTCTGCCCTTAGCCCAGATGTCATGGAAGACAGTTGACCTTCTCCCTTCCCACTAACTTTTGTGTGATCTTTTAGAAAATAAACATTTCTGACATTAACGCTATTACTGTGGTCCCTCATTTCTTTGAACTTTGACTTTTGCTCTGAGGCCTGTCACTTAATAGCAGATTAAAATAACGGACATTGATAAGGCACCTGCAGCCAAACCGAGAAGAGATAAGACGGGAAGAGCAATTACAACCAGAAACTGGAGGACCACAGTTCGTGTGAGCTGTGAAGATGTGGACCAGGTGCTCGGAGGCCACAGAGCTAGTCCAGGAAGACTAGCTGTCACAGGCTGTGACAGGAGTCTCGCTGGGCTTGATCGTTTATTTATTATCCATGTATTTTTTTAAATTTTTTTGTCATGCTGGGCTCTTTGTTGTTGGTGTTCTCCTTGCCTCCTTGCCTGCTCTTTTCTTTTTGATAGTTCCATGATGTCGCCCAGGCTGACCTGTGACTCAACACTTCTGCCTCAGTCCTCTGCATGCTACCTTACAAGCATGCGCTACTGTGTCTAGCCACTTTTTTTTTAAAATAAAGTCAGTCAGCTGCTTTGTTTGTTTTGATTTTCTGTTGTCATGTGCCATGGTTAGCAGCCAGGGCCACGTGCATGCTAGGTAACAGCCTTAACCACTTCTGCTCTCTCTTTAAGTGTGGTCAGATAGGTGTAACATAAAATGTAGCATCTTAACCATACATGGGAATACAACACAGATTATACATATAGATGCACCACACATATACATCAAAAAAATCCAACAGTGAAAAATGAAGATTTGGGTAGTCACTGGCTGAGGTTGTAGTATCAGAAGTCTGGCTTTTATCATTAAGTTGTTAAGAAACTGAAAGCAAAGCAGCTTTGAACAAGACAAAGAAAGCCAACCTGTTGTACAGAAATTTTAATGTAATACACATATTTATTAAATACTTAGTATTTTCCTGAAACTCTAATATTTGAAATGGTTGAGTAACTCATTCAATTAATCTTTCCTTTTTACAATTAGCAAAGTATTTAGTTTCATTACAGCATTTAAAATTAGCGTGTGTCCCCTGTATGATGTAGTCTGCCTCACGAATCACCTCATTTATTAAAACAGAGCAAGTGCTTATTAACTCCTCCAGCGTGTGCAGTGTGCTTGGTAGCTAAAGGGAATTTGGGGGTTTGGGGTTTGTTTAGTTGTTTCTTTTGTGTTTTCCAGAGAGGGTTTCTCTGTGTAGCCCTAGCTGTCCTGGAACTAGCTCTGTAGACCAGGCTGGCCTCGAGCTCACAGAGATCCGCCTGCCTCTGCCTCCCGAGTGCTGGGATTAAAGGCGTGCGCCACCACCACCCGGCTGTTACAGGGATTTTTGAGGACAGCTGCATGATGGAAATGTAAAGGAGACAGACGAGGAGCCAATGAAACACCGCAGGGAAGAGTCACCAGGACATGTCATGACCACAGAGGCTGAAATCTCTCGCCTCTGAAGTCTGACAGCCGGAGCTGGAGCCAAGGAACCCAGGGTGGGAGGAGAGAACCCCTCCTGAATGTGGTCCTCTGACCTGCTTGTGCTCCTAGTGTAGACTACACATCGTGCGAGTTGGCTTGCTAGGAGAAATGCACATTGTTAGAACCTGGTCAAACAGTCCTAGGACTATGCAACCCACAGGCTGGATTTTCAGAGTCCAAACTCCATGATTTCCCATGCCTGTAATCCATCCCAGTAGCCAGGAGTCAGAGAGGCTGGGGGACTTTGGCAAGCTCCGTGCTCCGTGGTCTAAACAGCAAGTTCCAAATAGCTCAGACCTCACAGTAAGTCTCAAAAATAAACAGACAAAAAAAAAATAACAAAAATTCCAGGCATTCTTAATTTTTAATTAAAAATTTATTTTATAAATTTAATTTAAAAAGACTTATTTATGTAAATGAGTGCTCTATTTGCCTTTATGCCTGCACACCAGAAGAGAGCATCAGATAACATTATAGATGGCTGTGAGCCACCATGTCGGTGCTGGGAATTGAACTCAAAACCTCTGGAAGAGCAACCAGTGCCTTTAACTACTGAGCCACTGAAATTGTGTCTGCTTGTTTGGAGGCAGGGTTTCTCTGTGTAGTCCTGGCTCTCCTGGAACTTGCTCTGTAGACCAGGCTGGCTTTGAACTCAGAGATCTGCCTGCCTCTGCTGCCCAAGTTCTGGGACTAAAGGTGTGCACCACCACACCCAGCTCTAAATTTAATTTTTAAAAAGATTTTATTTTACATGGTTGCCTGTGTGTTTGTATGTCCACTACTTGTATGTCAGGGGCAAGAGCAGTGCTTTTATCTGCTGAGCTGTTCCTCCAGACCCAAGAGTATTTTTTTTACTAAAGTCTCTCTATATTTACCTGTATTTTTCTACTTTCATATTTTGCCCTTGTGTCCTTTAATCTTGACTTTTTTTTCTTTTTGCAGCCCCTCCTCCAACCCCTCTACCCGGCTAGATCCTATGAAAGGTGTAAGGGGGGAGTTGATCTCCACAACATCGAAACAAGTAGTAGGTTGTCAACATTTCCTTTGTTGAACCAAACATCCCTGTTAAAGTACAAGTTGTGTTTTCAAATCTGTGTCTGTCTCAGTTAGGGTTTCTGTTGCTGTGAAGAGATACCATGACCACGGCAACTCTTTTAAAGGAAGACATTTCAATGGGGGTGGTTTACAGTTTCAGAGATTTAGCCTGTTCTTGTCATGGTGGTGTGTAGGGAGATGTAGTACTGGAGAGGGAACTGAGATTTCTATATCTTGATCCTGAGATTTCTGTCTTGATCTATAGGCAACAGAAGTGAACTTGTAAGACTTTAAGACAATTCTGAAGCCATTTCTGAACCCTCTCAGCCTCTGTGCCTCAGTGCTTCCCCTCCTCCCCTGGGAACCAAGGACCTAACAGCTACACATGCACGTACTCAGTTCCTGAACAATTACCCATACACTTATGTTTTGACTCAGTTCCCTGGGAAACGGGGTCAAAATGACCTCTTACCTCATCTGATCTGACAATAGCTCTCCAGCCAATTATTGGTATTAGCCCTTCTCGAACAAGCCAATCATAATGGTCAAGGAAAAACCCCTCTTGTTTCTATGGGGCCTTCTCCTTTAAAAGTAGACTGCACCAGCTAGTCAGGGTCTCTCGGCTTCCCGAATGCTGAGGGACCCTGTCATGACAGAATTAATAAATCCTCATGCTTTTGCATCGGCTGTGGTGTATGAGGTGGTCTCTGGGGGTGACTCCTTCTCGGGTTGGACACTAGAGTCCAACAAACTGGGCTTAGCTTAAGCATAGGAGACCTCAAAGCCCTGCCCCCTCCAGTGACTCGCTTCTTCCGACAACCTAATAGTGCCACTCCATTTGGGGGTCGTTGTCTCTCAAACCACCACAGTACCCTTCATTTCTTCTTATCTATTTAAAAAATATTTTAATTTGTACTGTGTGTCTGCATGTGTGTACCTGTCTCTGTGTGTTCCACAGCATGCTCAGAAGTCAGAGGACAACTTAGAGAGTCAGTTCTTTCCTTTGCTCTTCTTTGAGGGACAGTTGATCACACTGTGAACCCTGAGATTACATTATTTAAATACCATAGGTCAAGATGTGGACCAAGCAACCAGTTGACTGAAAGTAACCATAGAGGGTGAGGGGAAGTAGGGAGGACAGAGAGAGTCAGAGGAAGTAGAAGGGTGGGACATCTGATTGGAGGAATATTTTTTCAGAAGGTGTAGAAACATTCTTTCTGAGACAAAGGCAGAGGAGGAAGTCACCCCACTGCTTTCTCTGCCTCTGAGCTAGCAAGTTTTCACCCCAGCATCTGACTCCCAAGTCTTTATTGGTAAAATAAAAGGATAGAGACTTAGTCAGAAACAACATTTACCTCCCTGTGTGGAGGTGGCATAGACAGTTTGGTGAGACTTGCAGACTCCCCGGGGCCACAGCCTCAGCCTTAGCCATGAAGCAGAGGTGACAAAGTGTAGTCGGCAACCAAGACAGCTGTCAGTTCAGTTACAGCCACTGTGTGGCAGAGGAAAACAACAGTCATGTGTGTTTGGGGGTTGAACTTAGGTCATCAGGCTTGGTGGCAAGCGCCTTTGCTCACTGGTCTACGTTCTTACTTTGAGACAGCATCTCACCACATAGTCCTTGCTGCCCTAGAACTGCCAGCTTCTGCTCCTAGTGCTGGGATTAAAAGGGTGATGGCTGATCTTCACTGTCAACTTGACCATTTGCAGTCAACTAACACCTAAGCAGCTGGGATGCCTGTGGACATTTTACTTGGCTGGGTCATTTGAGGTAGGAAGACCGACTTTGTAAGTGGTCCTGAGTCTCTTGTATAGTTTTCTTATAATCTCTTCTAACACCAAACAGCTATCTGTCATGGGAAGTCAGGATCAGGACACGGAGATCTGAAGGTGTCCGTGTGTGCTTGTCTTAGTTACTTTTCTATCGCGGTGACAAAACACCATGACCACGAAACTTACCAAGAAAAGTGTTTAGTCTGGCTTGTGTTTTCAGAGGGTTAGAGTCCATAGCAGAACAAAGGCGTGGTGGTAGGAATAGCCAAGAGCTCACATCTTGACCCACAAGCATGAGGCAGAAAAAGAAAAAGAGGCTAGGCTTAGCATGGGCTTTTAAACTCTAGAAGCCTCAGTGGCACACCTCCCTCAACAAGGCCACGCCTCCTAATCCTTCCCAAACAGTTCTACCAAATGGGACCAAATATTCAAACATATAAGACTATGGGAGCCCAGTTTTCATTAAAACTGCCATGATGCTCACCACCAAGGCTCAGAGACACGGATTTTCAGTCCCCGTGTGGCAAAACAACCTTACTTATTTGATTTATTGGACCCCATTTACCACACTGTTGCTGGGATTTGTGGTATTCTGATACTGGGTTAGGAAATCACCCATTTCCACTAAGCTCTCCACCTGGTTGCCATGGGATTGTAAACACTTTTCAGTGGTGATTTATGTATTCTGTCTCAGAAACCATTTCTGCTTCCTCTTTTTATTTAGCATTTCCATACGCTGACTTCTCTCTTTCTCTCCCTCCCTCCCTCTCTTCTGGAGCTGAGGACTGAACTCATGGCATTATGCTTACAGGACTCTATCACTGAGCTAAATCCCCAACCATAGCTTATTTTATTTCATTTATCAAAGAAAACTTACTATTCTTTCTATTATCTTCTGTTGTACCTATTGTTGGTGTTCTTCTGTAAACAAGTCTTCCTTCTGGCTTATGGTGTTGACTTTCTGAAATTGAATCCTGTAGTTCAGTTGTTCTCTACCTTTTAAAAAATAATTTTTTTTTATGTATGTTGGTCTTTTGCATGCATGTATATCTGTGTGAGGGCACCAGAATCACTGGAACCAGAGGCTAGGGTTGTGAGCTGCCATGTGGGTGCTGGGAATTGAACTCAGGCTCTCTGGAAGAGCAGCCAGCACTCTAATTGCTGAGCCATCTATCTCTCCAGCCCCACCTTTTTTTTAAATGAAAGAATTTAATGACTATAGATTACCTGCAGATTTCACATGCTAAACTTCTTATTTCTACAAGAGCTATCTCCAGGATAGGCTCCAAAGCTACAGAGAAACTCTGTCTCGAAAAACCTAAATAAATAAATAAATAAAAATGAAATCTTATGTGTCTTTGTCGTGTGTGGGCTTGTGTATGTGAATGCAGGTGACCAGAGGCTTTGGATCCCTTTGGAGCAGGTTATGAGTTGCCTAACATGGGTGCTGGAAATCAAACTGGCCTTCTGCAGGAGCAGTGGGTGCTCTCAACCGCGCAGCCTTCACTCCGGCCCAACGCTAGTGTTTCTAAGTGCTGTGTGAACTAGCTGCCAGGTTGATTTGCCAGATTCTGGATGAAATTAGAGCCTCCGACTGTTACAGTGCTCTATTTTGTTTTTTCACTTTTTAAGGCAGGGTCTCTCTGCATAGCCCTGGCTGTCTTGAACTCGCAGAGATCTGCCTGCCTCTGCATGCCCCCCTCCCCTGCCCACCAAGTGCTGGCCTTACAGGCACATGCCACCACCTCATACCAGAACCTTGAATTTCTGATCCTCTGGCCTTCACCTCTTGAATCCTGAGATTTCAGGCGTGCACCACCACCACACCCTGTTTATACAGCATTGGAAACCAGACCCAGGTCTCCATGCATCCTAGGCAACCGCTTCTCTGAACTACACCCCCAGCTGTTTTGCAGGCTTTTAATTTCCCCTGGTGAATTTGGATACAGTACTTTTCCATAACTACCAGTCTTGCCTGGACCCTGTTATTTGTCCTGCATCTTGACACTTTACCCTCCCCAGCATCCTCTGCTCCAGAAGAGACCTTTAGAGTGCTTCATCTCCCTCCTGTCACAACAACTACAGAGCATCTGAGAAGCGAATTGAAAGGCAATGGTTATTAGGGCTCTGCAGGCTCTGCAAACCACAACACAGCCCCAGGAAAGAGCACTGTTCAGTGTGCCACGTGGTTTTGGCCTGCCTGTAATTGTTACAGACTGAACGATATGGAAGGTTTAATGAGGCAAATGTGAATTTGTTTGTGTTTTAGTCTGGTTTTGAGAGTGTCCTGCTGTGTAGATTGTGGTGGCTTTAAACTTGAAATCCTCTGCTTCAGCATCCTGAGAGTGCACCATCATGCAGGCCTTTTTAGACAGGGTCTCTCTCTGTAGCCCTGGCTATTCTGGAACTCACTACATAGACTGAAGTGGCCTCTTCTTGTTTTTTTGTTTTTAATTATTTTCATAGCTGCGTGGTGGTGGCATGCACCTTTAATTCCAGCACTTGGGAGGCAGAGAGACAGACAGGTGAATCTCTGTGAGTTTAAGGCCAGCCTGGTCTACGGAGCTGGTTCCAGGAAAGCTAGGGCTGTTATACAGAGAAACCCTGTCTCAAAAAAAATATTTATTTTTATTTTGTGTTCATTGGTATTTTTGCCTGCATGTATGTCTATGTGAAGGTGTCTCTGAGTTCCATGTCAGGTTAGCCTACAGAGCAGTTCCAGGATAGTCAAGGCCATACAGAAAAACCTTGTCTTAGAAAACAAACAAAACAAAACCAAACAAAAAAGTTCCTTCCTAGGTTTTTATGTATTATTTATTTTTGAAGAGTCTTCTTTAGCCTGGGTTGGTTTCAAACTTGCTATGTATCTGAGGAAGACCCCGAATTTCTGATACTTCTGCCTCCACAGCCCAAATGTTGGCACAGAGTTTATGCTATGCTGGAGGCCAGACCTAGGCAAGCACTCTACCACCCGAGTTTCCATCCCCAGCCTCTTAATTTACAATAGATAGCAAAATAAATATGAACAGGTACAAAATAATTCTCATTGTCACTACCTGGAAGTATTGTAATTCTATGCATTTTTTCTCCAAGACAGGGTTTCTCTGTGTAGCTCTGGCTGGCCTCGAATTCATAGGGCTCGGCCTATCTCTGTCTCCTGAGTGCTGTGATTAAAGGCGTCTGCCATCACCTGACTCTATGCATCTTTTTAGCCTCTGAGATTTGAAAATATTTTTCATAGCTTGTGCTGTGTATATATTATAAAAATAAATAGGTGAGTATTGCATTGGTGTAGTTTTGGGTCTTGGTGTTTTTTTTCCCTAAGGAGGAAGCAGGGTCTGTGTGACTCTTGTCCATAGGGTTTGTTCTCAGAGGCTGCTTTGCTGGGATCTCCCCAGGCTAAGGAGATAAGGCAGTCCAAAGCCAGACCCAGGGACTTCTTGGTCCTTTCCTCCCTTTTGTTCCGAAGATCTGAAAACTCTCTGGCTTCAGAGGAACTGCAGTGAGTTGATTCTCATGTATCTGGAGAAGTGGACGTAGAGGCGGCGGAACCAGACGAGCTGACTCTGGTGGCAGGACATGGCTTTCTGAAAGAATCAGAGGACACTTGCTCTGGCTGTTATTTTCAGTCCCCCACCCCCAGCTCTAATGATTCTCAGAGTCACCTGCCCCACTGCTGGTTTTTCTTAAAAAAAAAAAAAAAGATTTAGCAAGCAGGGCAGGTCTCGTCCCCATGGAGGGGGCTTTGCCAGGTAGCAGGGCTTTGAGGAGCCCAGGGACCTGGGACTGGGTTCACAGTGCAGTATTCAGGAAGTACAATCCTTACCTTGGCCTGTGCCACTTCTTTGCTGGTGAGCATGAAGAGGGCATCCTGGGATGAGAGTAGAGACCAGGGCAGATCCAGGAGGTAGAGATACTTCCGGAGCATGCTTACAGACTGCAGAGTGAGTACGGAACACCCTGGGCAAGGAGGGATGGCAGATGGGATCACGTTGCTGCTCTCAGCCGGGTGTTTCCCTGAGCACCCTCCCTCTCCAGGTGGCTCAAGGCAGGCAGAGCAGTTGCTCTCCAGCTGCTGGGTGCCTGGTGGCCCTTTGACTAGTATTCTTCTGTATGGGAAGAGTGACAGGGCCACAGAGCTCCCGCCAACTGTGAGAGGAAGGGGCTGCCAGAGGGTGGAGGGAGGATGACAGAGACAGGAATGTCTGAGTCAGGAGGCTGAAGACTCATTTTAGCTTTGCTCCAACATGAGGTGCTGGGTGTGGTGGCTTCCACCTGTCACCCCAGCACTTGGACGGCAGAGACGGGTGGACTCCCATGAGTCAGAGGCAAGCCTGGGTTCCATAATGCATTTGAGGTTAGCCTGGGCTTCAGAGTAAGACCTTGTCTCTGGAAACAAACAAACAAACAAACCCCAAAAAAACCTGATGCGTAAATTCCCTTAACTGCTCTGGATTTTAGCTTCCTAGCTGCTAAAGTAGTGTTGATAGTGTAGGGCCTGCCCATCTTACTTGGTGGACAGAAGATACAGCCTGGAGCACAGCACACATCACTTAGATCACTTCTGATTTCATGTCACCCTTGTAAGGCAGGACAGGCCAGAACTTGCTCAAAGAAGTAGCGTAGGACATCAGGCAGCGGATGGCCAGTGTGGTTCTATGCCTCCCAGGCAGTGGCTGGCCAGTGGGGTCCTACATTTCACGGGGAGGGTTTAGAAAGTGCACTATTTTGCCAGGGGGTGGTGGCGCACGCCTTTAATCCCAGCACTCGGGAGGCAGAGGCAGGCGGATCTCTGTGAGTTTGAGGTCAGCTTGGTCTACAAGAGCTAGTTCCAGGACAGGCTCCAAAGCTACAGAGAAACCCTGTCTTGGAAAAAAAAAAAGTGCACTATTTCAAGCTCATCAATCTACAGGAAACTTGTGAGGCACTTTTAAAACTCTTAATTGAGTGGGTGATGGGAGGTGAGTTTGGACAGACTAATAGAATGTCAGCAGTGGAAAAGAGTTACCTTCCCTGGGAGGAAACTAGATAGGGTGCTTGGCAGTGGATACAGTCTGAACCCCACACAGACCAGACTGGTTCAGGGCGAGTGGCCCACCTTCCAACACGGGCTGCTCTGTGTCTAGGTTCCTTCAGTGCACAGCACCCCCACAAATACTACAGCTATGGATGCTCAAATCTCTCATATAAAATGATGGAGGACTTACATAGAACCTACCCATATTCTCTTGTATATGTTAAATCATCTCTAGGTTACTTATAGTCCCTAATATAAGGCAAATGCTGTGGAAATAGTTGCTATATTGCATTGTCTAGCAACCAATGATGAAAAAAGGATCTGCATGTTCAGTACAGGTGCCCTTCCCCTCCTGCATATTTAAACGTGTGTGTGTGTGCGCGCGCACGTGCTCATGGCTGCCTGACTTTATGTGCACTACATTTGTGCACAGGGTGTCTGATGTCCCTGGAACTGGAGTTATAGGTTGTTGTAATCTGCCTGATATGGGTGCAGGGAACTGAACCCAGGCCTTTGGTGAGAGCATAAGTGCTCTTAACTGGGGAGCCATGTCTCCAGCATCCCATTGAATAATTTTGATCTCAGGTTGTGAAATCCATAGATACATAGAAACCCACAGATATAGAAGGCTGACAATATTTGCAAATTTTCCTGGTAAATTTCTTAAAGGGATAGTAACCATTGTCTGCTTGCAATAAAACCAGGCCTTCCTTACCTGTAGGCAGCTTCCCTTCAGAGTGCAGGGCCCTGGAGGATGGAGAGGACAAGCATTAGACAGGGAAAGAGTCACTTAACTCTTCTGTGTTAACAGGAGGGACCTTCAGGCCCAACCAAACGCACAGGCTTCCCGTGGTTTCTACTGCATGAACCAACATCTAAATATGCGGGATTCTACACCTCTGGCTATTGCTGAGGGGAGCAGAGCAGGCATTTCATCCCCACTCAGCTTGATCCAGAAGCTGGAGTACGGTTTATGGAACAGTCTCGTCAAATGTTACCCATTAGAGTAAATGGGTAACTATCCTTAAACTTTGAGTTAGCTGGCTTTGGTGGTACACACCTTTAATCCCAGCACTCAGGAGGCAGAGGCAGGTAGATCTCTGAGTTCAAGACCAGCCTGATCTACAATAGTGAGCTCCAGGACAGTTAGGGCTATGCAGAGAAATGGTGTCTTGACAAAACAAAAAAGAGATTATACACTTAGGAGGCAGGGGCAGGCATATCTCTGTGAGTTCGAAGCCAGCCTGGTCTACAGAGTGAGTTTCAGGACAGCCAGAGCTATCACAGATAAAAATCCTGTCTTGAAAAGCCAAAACAACAACAACAGACACACACACACACACACACACACACACACACACACACACACATAACGTGAGTCTAATGAAAGAATGTTTGGACATGCTAATTATGTTTCATATTTTCTCTCTCCTTTTGACCTCCCTTACTCCCACTTCTGACAATGAAAGCTGATCTGAGTTCACTGCTCTAAGGAGGGGCACGGTAAATTCAACACTAGGAATTGCTGGATTGCTTCCTGGCTTTGTTATCAGAGGATAGGGGACACAGAAGAAGAAGTGGGTAGACCCGGACAACACACACACATACACACACACACGAATAGGGGCTCAGGGGCAGGGGTCAAAGTGAAGGAGTCGAGAGACATGCTTTTACCATGTCTCTTGGTAAAAGCATGGGAACCTTAAGAATCAGAAAAGCTGAAAGAGGTTTCTGGGATCCTGGGAGACATCTTGTCCTGCACTCTGGGCAGAGCCAGTTTGACTTTGAGGCAGATGCACTGGTCCAGAGGTGAGAACTGGAGGCCCACACCATGTAATCACACTCACAGCCCTCGCGATCCTTACTGAGCATGGCTGGGAAGAGAGCCCTGGGACACGGAGGGGCCTTAGGTAGGAAGAAAACAGAAAGAGACTGGGAGATGACCAGGGAGACCAGGGCGGGAACACAGTGTCAGCAAGTCAAAGCAGCATTTTATGAGTGACAGGGTCAAATGCCACACAAGGGCACAGGTGAGGATGAAGGTGAGTTTGATGGACTCAGCAGACAGGAGGAGGATGTGGAGAAAACTTTCAGTAGCTGATCAGCATGCCCATGCATTGCTTGCTCTGAAGTGTGGACTCACGTTAGTACAGAGAGGACTCATGAACTCTGAGAGCCCATGACACTCCAGCGTCTGAAGAAATACCAGCCGTAGGCAGGCCTGTTGGCAGAAAGCTGTGCCCTTGAGTTGGCTGCCCTGAATGACGTCCTCCCAGGGCCCCCACAGAGTTGACTAGTGTCCTAGTTGGCTCTCTGTTGCGGTGATAAATACCACGACCAAAAGCAACTCAGGGGGGCTTTCATCTTAAAACTCCCAGATCACAGTCTATCACAGGGAAGTCAGGACAAGAATTCAAACAGGAACCTGGAGGCAGGAACTGAAGCAGAGGCCATAGAGAAGCCCTTCTTACTGGCTTGCTCCCTTTGGCTTGCTGGGCCTGCTTTCTAGTGCACCCAGGCCCACCTGCCATGGGGGACACTGCCCACAGTGGGCTGTGCTCTTCTGCGTCAATCATCAATCAAGAGCATGCCCCACAGGCTTTCCTTCAGGCCAATTTGCCGGAGGCCTTTTCTTAATTGACACTCCCTCTTCCCAGATGACCCTCACTGTGTCAAGCTGACAAAAAACAAGCAGCACAAGCAGGGATGGAACTAACCAAGCCCCCCCCCCCTCACGTGCCTTGCCCGCTGTCTGCTGAGGTGCTCTTGGTTTGTTTATAGCAAGCTTGAGCTGACCATTTTCCTGGTGAATACTTGGGCACAAATTTATAAGGCTCTGTGTGGACCTGGGATGAAGTGGAGCCCCTGTTTCTACCTGCCAATGGCTTGCTTTTCGGCAGTCCAGTCCTTAGAATAACAAGTTTGGCTACACGTCTGTTCCTGGAATACACACTCTTTTTGTGTATCATCACAAAAAAAAAATTGTATCGCCTACTGAAACCTGTGGTGTGACTTTCTTAACTATGAATGAACCTAATGCAACTATTAACACATAGCTGTATCTGTGCCTCTGCTGGTCCAGGAAATGAATGGTTTTTATGAGAAGGAGAGAAGTATGGTCTCAGCACCCTACAGTCAAAGAATCGGGGTTAGCTGGGAAGAAGATACGAGAGTACTCATTTCTAGCACCTTCCAAAGTTGCATACAATTAAAGATGAGGCTGGGGAGCCATCAAGCTGGGTTTGCCTTCATGTGAACCTAATGGAAGCAGCCAGTGGAGGCACCTAATGGAAGAGAGAACCGGGATGCCCGAGTGCTAGGCCTGTCTCTGCTAATGTTGAGTCTTGTGCTGGGCAAACCTCTTCACGGCCTGTCAAATGAGATGGTTGCACTCAGTGACCAGTGAGGTCATTTCCAACTTCATAACGTTGATAGCTTCAGTCTGAGAATGGTGAGCATGTTTAGAAGGGAAAGTAAGACTTTCCAGCGCCCCTTTCTTTCCTCGGCAGCTAGGACAGAACCTGCCCTCTGAAGAAGTATTCTCTGGAAGAGAGGGAACACAGTCCGTTTGTTTGACCCTACGTCATGCACCATTTTTGAGGCTCCATTTTGGTTTCACTGGTAAGATGAGGCAGTCTTGCTTGTGGCCTAGAATGCCTGATGCAGAGACCTTCCTGCCAGTCTCCCAAATGCCAGGCTAACAGGCATGCTAACAGGCAACAATTGGGATGTTATATTACGCAGGTATGTCATTGTTCTCCTAAAGCCTGGGAACAGCTTAGGAGAAACCTAACAGAACATCAGCGAGGCGGGGGTGAAGATGGTTAAACTGGGTGCTGGTCCACAGGCCTCACTCCTGGACTCCCCTTCATTCCTTTCGAGGCTGAGGATTTGGCCTGTCAGGTTTCTGTGGCCACAGTAAAGATGGAGATAGAGTCAGTTACCCGATTTGGAGTATCCAGGGGATAAAATAGAATCTGTTAAAGTGGACAGGTACGTACCTGTAATCCCAGCATCAAGAGGCAGAGGCCTGAGGCTCACTGTAAGTTTGAGCCCAACCTGGTCTACATAGTGAATTCTAGACCAGCCAGGAGGAGACAGCAAGACCCTGTCTCAAAAACAAAACCAACCGGGCTGGAGAGATGGCTCAGTGGTTAAGAGCATTGCCTGCTCTTCCAAAGGTCCTGAGTTCAATTCCCGACAACCACATGGTGACTCACAACCATCTGTAATGAGGCCTGGTGCCCTCTTCTGGCCTGCAGACGTACACACAGACAGACTATTGTATACTAATAAATAAATAAATATTAAAAAAAAAAACAAAAAACCAACCAACCAACAAAATATAAAAAACCCTCCACCCCTCCCTAAGGGTCTAGTTAATGACTGCTGGGGCAGGAGAGAGATTTTCTTCAGCACTGTAGCCACTGGTAAGGTGTTCGAGCTCCTATAAATGCCCTTTCACCCATGCTCCTGTAAGTACCCTTTCTCTCTCTCTCTCTCTCTCTTTCTCTCTCTCTCTCACACACACACACACACACACCCCACATACATACACATATAGGACGGAAGGACAGATAATCAGTCTCTTACCCTAGGGAAGGGGAAGAGAGAGCAATGGAGAGTGAATATGATCATGTGTCATGTACATGTCTAAAGATTATAAAAAACTACCATGTATATTTAATATAGGTCAATAAAAACTTTCTTTGTCTTGTTTTTTTTTTAAGACAGGGTTTCTTTCTTCCTTTTTTTTCTTTCTTTCTTTTTTTTTTTTTTTTGTTTTGTTTTGTTTTTTGAGGCAGGGTTTTTCTGTAGCTTTGGATCCTGTCCTGGAACTAGCTCTTGTAGACCAGGCTGGCCTCGAACTCACAAAGATCCGCCTGCCTCTGTCTCCCGAGTGCTGGGATTAAAGGCATGTGCCACCACCTCCTGGCTTGGCCAATAAAAACTTTTAAAAACACAGTATGTCTACACTCAATGAATATGGGACAATCTGGGGAAAAAAACCTGAAAAATAAAAACTTAGGAGACAGTCATTCCCACTCCTACAAAGACTCGTGGGAGTTCTCATAAAGAGGATGTGGGGCTGGAGAGGGGGCTTAGTGGCTTAGAGCACTGCTTAGGGGACCCAGGTTCAATTCCCAGCACCCACACGAAGGTCTACAACCACCTGTAACTCTAGTTTGTGGGGATCTGACACCATCTTCTGGCCTCTGTGGGCACTGCATGCACGTGGTACACTGGTCCACAGACATACATGAAGGCAAAACACCCATACATGTTAAAAAAAAAAAAAAGATGTGGGTAGGTGGGTGAGCACCAGGGCAGCGCTGACTGCATGGTGACAAAAGAGAAAGTTTCCCAGGGCTCGGACGACAGGCAGGAAGGTGTTTTAGTGGCTGGGACCCTGGAGCACATGGGGGACCCTTTCCCACTCCCATCACCCAGAGAAGCATACCTCACAGCTCTGTACAAAGCTACATGATTGCTGTGACCACTGACTCCTTCGGCATCAAAAGTCACCACCTGTAGGGACAGACCCGGGGAGGAAGGGCTCACTCAGAGCTGCAGAATGGCTTCTCTACTGCCTCAGCTTCAAAGCGGCCTTCACCATTCCTTTGGGGAAGGAAAGAGCAGAGCCTGAAACTTTTCAAATTCTGAGCAGCCGGGGTTGCCCCTGAGCAGATGGATCTGTGTGTGGTGACGGTTAGTGTGTGCTTCACTCTCGTTCCTGGATGTAGAAAGAGCAGAGTGGGAATCGCCTCATGACAGAAACTTGTGTGTGTGCAAGGTGTGTGCAAGAATGTGCCCTTGAAGACCAGAGAGGAACCTCAGGCATTGTTCCCTCAGAGCTGCCTGCCTTGTTTTTGAGATAAGGTCCCTCACCTACCTGGAATTTGCTGCCCGGGCTAGCCTGGCAGGCCTGGGAGTACCAGGGATCTGTCTGCCTCTATTTCCCCGGTGTTGGGATCATAAACACACAGCCCCGTGTCTGGTTTTTGTTTGTTAGTTTCCAACATGGGCTCTAGAGATCAAACTTTAATTTTCATGCTTGCTAGGCAAGTCTTTACCAACTGAGATGACCAAGGCTCAGGATACCTTTGCTGTGGGCTGGGGATGTGGCTTAGTTGGTGGAACTTGCCCAGCACATGTGAAACCCAGAGTGTGTTCCTTAGCACTGTATAAACTTGATGTGGTGGTGCGTGTGTGTAATCCCAGATCCTGGGAGAGAGAGGCATGCGGGTCAGAAGTTTGGGGTCATCCTTGATCTACAGGAAGTTTGAGGCCAGCCTGGGATACAGGAGAACTTGTCTCAACAGATGTTTGTTTCTTTGCCTGGCCACTTGCTAGCACGTTCATTTCCTTAGCTGGCTGCTGCATAGGACTTGTTCAGGCGGATGTAGCCTGATCCACTGGGTGTCCTTTCCTCCTGCCACTCCACAAGTACAGCATCCTGGAGTCAAGCTCACAGAAGTCTAGCTCAGGCTGCCTCTCGTTCCATTTGTACATCTTCAATGTGGATCACAGAAGCAGCATAAGAAAACGAGGACTTGGGCTGGAGAGATGGCTTAGTGGTTAAGAGCACAGGCTGTTCTTCCAGAGGTCCTGAGTTCAATTCCCAGCAACCACACGGTGGCTCACAACCATCTGAAATAAGATCTGGCGCCCTCTTCTGGCGCATGGGCATACATGGAGGCAGAATGTTGTATACATAATAAAAATAAATAAATAAATCTTTAAAAAGAAAACGAGGACTCAGGAAAAGACTAGGGATGGTTGGTTAGAGTGACGGAACGAGAAGGGCTGTCCCCAAGGACGGAAAGTGTCCTCACACACACGAAGGGGTTAGAATCGAGTAGTCTGGGGAAAGATTCGCCCTTGCTCCATTTATTTTGTGATTATGATTTTTTTTCTTGAGATGTCTCATGTACCCCAGCCTTGCCTTGAACTCTCTATGTAGCTGAGGCTAGCCTTAAATTCCTGGTTTTCCTGCCTCTGCCTCCCAGGTGATGGGATTACAGACCTGTACCAATACACCAGGCTTGTTCTTTCTCTTTACACAGGAATGGCCTTGGTTACCATGAGAGCACCATGGTGTGTCAGTGCCAATTCAGGGCATGCCCTACGCAGTCTCACAATGACAAGGAGATGGGCTTTAAGGCCAGGATAAATGTTCCCCTTTGTTAAAACTAAGAAGCAGTTTTTCCTTCTTTCTTGGTTATTGCATTGCTGGGATTCAAACCCAGGGGCCTTGTGTATAACTAGGCAAGCACTCAGCCACTGGGCTAGAACCCCAGCCCTGAAACTCAGAAGCTTTCTGGCATAGTCCTCCTCCCGTTCACTGGTCTCAAATCATCATTAGAAAGTGCCCCTGGAGGCGGGCGCTCTGTTCAGGAATTTTTCTAGGGTCAGGCATCAGAACTGGGTTTTATTATTAAAAGAACACATTTACGTTTCTCCATAACCAGCAGCAGATCCTGAGACTGTCACCAAGACTCAACCCATCAGTGTGAAGCTTAGGACCCATGAAAAATCATTCCTAGGATGACCCTGGCGGTGGTGGCGCACGCCTTTAATCCCAGCACTAGGGAGGCAGAGGAAGGTGAATCTCTGTGAGTTTGAGACCAGCCTGATCTACAAGCTAGTTCCAGGACAGGCTCCAAAGCTACAGAGAAACCCTGTCAAAAAAAAAAAAAAAAGTCATCCCTAGGACGGTAATAACACTGGGCCTCCCATCTTGCGTGAGGCTGTGGAGTATGGATGCTCTGTAGGCTTACTCATGTCCTGTTTCCCTGGAACCTGAGTTACTTCATGTAGAAAAGGGATTTTGCCAATGTGATTAAGAATTTCAAGATGGAGAGGTTATTCCGGATAGAAGGGAGAGCAAGAGGATCAGAGGTAAAGGCCGTGGGACAAGAAGAAGAAAGTGACAGGACCTCTTTGAAGATGGAGGAAGAAGGAAGAAATGGGCCATGTTGCTCATGCCTGTAATCCGGCCCTCTGCTCAGAGTAACTCAGCCCCTCCTGCTCTCCTGTGCTTAGGATATACCGGGCAGATCAAGAAAGGCCATGACTTCTGAGTTTGGAATGGTGAATTTCCCTTACAGAGGGAGGGAGTGGTAACAGCCTACACTTCTAACACAGTGTGATGAGGACCAGGATTAGGGTAGTCCCTGGAGAGCCACTACCATAGGAAATCAGGGTACAGAGGCAAAAAGATGGCTCAGTGGCTAACAGTGCTTACTGTCCACTCTCCCAGGAGACGCAGGCAACCACCCGTAACTCTAGTTCCAGAGGACCCATGGGCTCCTGTAGACACATGGTGCAATATACTCATATAGGTTTATATGTGCATATAACAAAAAGAAAAAAGTCCTTAAAAAAGTCTAATGTGTTAATTCACTCAATGAACTTCAGTCATTGACTGAAAAGCCCAATAAGCCTCTTAACCAGCAGGCTCTACCTTCTAACAAAACTCAATCAAATGAGAAGGGCTCTGAATAGCAAAGCTTTGCCATTAACCTATGAAGAATCACAATTCTGAGATTTGGAAAATAAACCTTGGCAACTCTATTTATTTATTTATTTGTTTTTTGGGTTTTTCGAGACAGGGTTTCTCTGTCACTTTGAAGCTTGTCCTGGAACTAACTCTTGTAGACCAGGCTGGCCTCGAATTCACAAAGATCCACCTGCCTCTGCCTCCCGAGTGCTGGGATTAAAGGCGTGCGCCACCACCGCCTGGCAAACCTTGGCAACTTTAAAGTGGACTGCTTCGGTCAGGTGTGGTGGTGCACACCTTTAATCCCAGCACTTGGGAGGCAGAAGCAGGAGGATTTCTTTGTGTTTTGGGCCAGAACTGACTATTACAGAGCCCTAACTTGCTAACCCTACACGAATGTGAATCTCCATTGCTGCCCTAAAATGGTGATTTTCCTTATAAAGTGAATATGAACTTAGCCTCATTTTTTTTTAAAGAAATGAAGGTATAGCTGGGCATGATGTTGCCGCCTTTATTCCTAGCAAAAATCAGAGGCAAAAGCAGGTTGATCTATGAGAGTTTCAAGGCTAGCCTGTGAGAATCTGTTTCAAACAAGCAAACAAAAGAAATGGAGGCTTAAACCTCATAGCCACAGAACTGGGAATGTAGCTCTTTGATAGATCTAGGGCCTATCACACCCAAAGCTCTGGGTGAGATCCCTAGACACCCCCCCATTGCCCCTATATATCTCTGGAAGCCACCTGGATCATTAAGAATTTTAACATTTATAACACTTATCTTCAAAGTGAGAATCATACCGTAGCTGTGAAACCACTTGGTATGAGAAGTTCTGGGTCAGTGAAAGTCTCTTGCAGGTTCCTGAGGTTCTGAATTCTCAGAGGCAAGAGAAAGGTGGGGGAGCAGGACTTGACTGGAAAATGCTCTCAGCCTGAGGGTTGAGAACTCGCTCACTTGATCATGCATAAGATCAAGATCAAAGGTAATTGGAAGGAGTGTCTGCTCCTCAGCAGGTTTAGCAGACAGCTCTTTGGAGTGGGCTTGGAGCAGGGCTGGGCGTGGGAGGCAGCTAGTCCAGGTGACAGGATGGGGCCCTGGGCTTTGCCTTCAGAGTGGCACTGCCTTACCAGGTTGATGCCATTGACCTGTATGTGTTGGAGGAGGGTGTTGGCCACACTCTCTGTGTCCCACTGCACTCCTGGGTCATCTGGAAACTCACTGAAAGAGAGAAACGTATTTGAGGGTGGGAATAACCTTCATCTTTTTTAAAAAAAATTTAAATATCATTATTTTCATTTATTTTATACACCAAAAACAGTTTCCCCTCCCTCCTCTCCTCCTTGTCCTCCCCCTCATTACCCCCTCCTCTCCTCCTATTCCATTCCAGAAAGGGACTGGCTTGGTTTTTTTGAGACAAGGTTTCTCTGTGTAGCCCTGACTGTCTTGGAACTCTCTGTGTAGACCAGGTTGGCCTCAGACTTAGAGATTTGTCTGCCTCCTGAGTTCTGGGATTAAAGGCATGCGCCGCCACTGCCGCTGGGCAGGGCAGGAATAATCTTCTTGAGATCCAGTGGATGTGTGCTCAGTTTTGTGAGGAATTTTATCAGCAATGGGGAGCTCCCCACCCTTCACTGCTCCGATTTCAGTTAAATAAGGTTTACAAACACAAAGCTGCCAGAAATCCACACTCATCAGACACAGCACACATGGTTCTCTCTGCTCCCAGCCAGGCAGGCTGCCTCCACAACCTTCCTGTAGTGAGGGTCAATGACTGACCTTAAAATTCTGGGCCAAGAGTCAGAAGGGTTTCCAGCAGGAAAATGACAGGAGTCTCATCACTAAATAATGTCATTATTTCCTTTGACTCATTGGCAACCTCTACCCCACATTCCAGCCTTCTAGAGAGAGCCCAGTTCCGACAGCTCATTTGGGATGTCCCTGCAGTGAGCGTGGCAGACAGCCCAGTGAGCAGAGAAGGAAGGAACATGGGTACAAAATCCAGCCTTGCCCCCTGGAGCTCTATGCCACAGCACGGTTCTGAAGCTCAGAGGACAATCTTCAGGAGTCATTTCTCTCCTTCCATCTTTATGTGAGCTCTGGGACTGAGCCTGGACCATTAGGCTTGGGGGACAAGGGTCTTTCCCTACTGTCATCCCACTGGCTGGAGACCACAAGTTTTAGCAGACTGGGTGATCAGAACTGGGCCACTGAGATCCCGTTTCCTCCTTCAGGAGTCGGTAAAGTTCCTGAGATTCCTGATGATCTGTTGAGATATTTTTTTCCCATTTAATTAAATGTTTATTCAATGAAAAGATGTATAAAAACTTACAAATTCCTGTCTCGAAACCACCCCCCCCCAAAAAAAAACCCAACAAACTTACAAATCTGAGAACTCAATTATACATAGAAGAGGATGATGGGATATTCAGTTTCTAACATACACGGATGGTATAGCTACGCACTATTCCCACCCCTCTCCCCGTAGTCCTCGCTTCTGGCTCCTGTTGCATCCTATGAGACCATTTTATTATTGGTCCAAGGGAAGATTAATGGACAACTTTTAATGCTGTTAGGCCAGTGGGGAAAATTTCAGGTGTGAACAAAAATTGGAGGATACACATCAAAATCAATGTGTCTCCTTTTCCTTCAAGAAGAAATTAGCTTATTATTATTATTATTATTATTATTATTATTATTATTATTTTGTCATCCTGATTTCTCTTTGTCATTTTTGAGGCTTTGGTAGATGTCACCAGTGAACTATGGGCATTGCATTAAAAAAAAAAAACAAAAAAAAAACAAGGTCTCTCTATGTAGCCCAGGCTGGCCTCAAACCCCCAATTCTCCTGCCTTTACTCCCCACCCCTTCCCCTAGTGCTGGAGTTCTAGATGGGCACCACCAAGTCAGGCAGCATCACCTTTTACACCCATTACAATCACCCTTCCCGTTAAGATGCATCTTTTCACAGCCTTGCAGCGTACACACTGATCTTACAGGTGGTTGGCTGGCACCGACACATGCTTGCGGCTGGCAGTTGCTGGGGAAACGGCATGGCATTTGCTGTTCGGAAGGATGTTCTACGGCATCATGTTTTCAAATCCGATAACTAGACAATAATTTGGTAAGCTAAAATTATGACTGTCCCTTCTCAAAGAAACAAAGTCAGAAAATGCAGCATGCTTCTTAGAGATAAAGCTGGGCTCTGCTATGCAAGTCTAGAAGGTGTGGGGAAACTTGAAACCCAAGAAAATGTTTTTAATATTTGCTCTCTAGGTGTCTGATTTCAGAATGTATTCTTGGAGATTATGTCTAGTTAAGGAAAATCACTAGAAATTGACTTTAACAAAATGCAGGAGTAATAATGTGATGGCAATCTTCATTTCTGGATGAAGCCCGATGGGCTGCGAGTTTGTATGTGAGCGAACAGTACCTGGATGCTTGCTCCAGACAGGAGAATTGGTGCACATGCCTTCCCCAATGCTGGCCTCTCTCAGAGATGAACAAGAACATGCTGGGTTTGGATTTCTGATTTGTTGAGATTTTTGTTTTATCCTGAGGTTACCTTTTGTATCCGGAACAACACCGGGCTAAAGGGAGCTCATTAGAAACCCTTCCCGCTGGGTAGTGGTGGCGCACACCTTTAATCCTAGCACTTGGGAGGCAGAGGCAGGCAGATCTCTATGAGTTCGAGGCCACCCTGGTCTACAGAGTGATTGCCAGGACAGGCTCCTAAATTACACAGAGAAACTCTATCTTGAAAAGCAAAAACAAAAAAGAAACCATTCCTGTTATTGCTTCAAAGTGTATTCGTTATCTCTCTGGTATCCTAGAGAGGAACTGTGTTTGTCCTTGTTAGGAATGAGGCTGTCTGACTTCAGGCGACTGTCACTAGTGACTGCTGATCTAAAGAAAGGCCCAGCATATACAAACACTTTCTCTAAAATTCTGGCTTCTCCCTGTTTCGGTCTGTTTGAGATGGAGTTCTAACATAGCCAGCCGTCCTAGTCACATGAAGACAATGAAATCAGGAAGAGCTTCGCCGCCCCTGGAACCTCTCTTGAAACAGAATGTCCACTCTGGGCCTCACATTAACTTACTATTTCTCCCTGCTCTTCTCTAGTTCTTTTTCTAGCATATTCCATCTAGCACAGGCCCGCTTTCAATGCTACTTCCTCCACCAAGACTTCCAGAAGGGGCTCAAGGCCATTAAGTTCAGTGGGTACAGTCCCCTACACTATTTACACTTCTTAAAAAAGTAAATTTCTTAACTTACTGGGGGTGCACACATATACACCATGGGGGATGTGTATATGTGTGTATGTGAGGGGGTGAGGGGGAGGGAGGGAGGGAGAGAGAGAGAGAGAGAGAGAGAGAGAGAGAGAGAGAGGACGGACAGCTTTCAGGAATTAGATCTTTCCTTCCAACATGTGGGTTCCTGGGTCTCAAGTCATCAGGTTTAGCAGCAAGTACCTTTACCGCTGAGCCCTGCCTTGATTTTTGATTCCAGCTGCAAGTTCAGAAATTTCCCTAAACCATCAATAATGCACTAGAAATACATATATTACTTGCTGACAATTGTTTCATACATATTGAGAAACAGTATAGGTTAAAGTCAGCCAAAGGAAGAGATGCCTAAGGCAGAGTCCAGGAAGTTTCTAGATGCAGAGGTCACATTGTGTTCCCATGGAGATGTGACATTGACCCAGCTGGGGCATGGCAGGACACAGGGAGCAGTGTCAACCAGGAAAGTGTGTCCAAGTTTCTGTGTTCAGAATTTTCCGGGTGGCTGACTGATTGCCTATGGTTGGTCTCAGCCTCCATGTGACTGATACCATATTTTCCAAAGTCTGCAGTGAAGCCAATACTATCAGCTATGACACACACTTCCCAGAAGCCAAGGGCAAAATCAAATTCTTTACTATAGACTATCCTTGTGTCAAGAACCTTCACAGTCCCCCTCTACCAATATGGCCCACATTGTGTCTGTTGCTCTACCTAAAGTATGTAAGTAGAAAGATATTTTTTGTGTACTTGGTATAATTCAAGTTGAAGGACAATTTATTTAAGCAGACAGTAATAACCCATTTCTCTTCATGCACAAGGCACTTTCTTTAAGGAATATTTAATAAGTACCAGTTGGTACTGGCAATGCTAAAGGCAATTAGTTATATTGGCCTCTTGGCAAGAATTTACAAAGACAGCACCTTTATAAAACAGATCTTGCTGGGCATGGTGGCATGCACCTTTAATTCCCACACTCATGAGGGAGTGCCAGTCAGATCTCTGAGTTTGAGGCTAGCCTGGTCTACAGACCGAGTTCCAGGACAGCCAGAGATACACAGAGAAGCCCTGTCTTGAAAACAAAACAAACAAAAAAGATTTTACAAGCAGGAAATTATGGCACATGCCTAGAATCTTAGCACCTGGAAGGCAGAGGCAGGAGGATTTCCTGCAAATTGAGACTAACCTGCTCAACAGTGAGTTCCAGGCCAGACAGGACTACACAGCGAAAGTCCTACTTAGAAAACAAAAACAAAGCCGGGCGGTGGTGGTGCACGCCTTTAATCCCAGCACTCGGAAGGCAGAGGCAGGCAGATCTCTGTGAGTTGGGGGTCAGCCTGGTCTACAAGAGCTAGTTCCAGGACAGGCTCCAGAGCTACAGAAAAACCTTGTCTCAAAAAAACCAAAAAAGAAAAAAAGAAAAGCAAACAAAACCAAAGGTTGGTACAGTGACTCACATCTGTAATCCTAGCACTAGGGAGGCTGAGACAGGAGGATTTCTAAGAGTTTGAGTCCACCTAGGCTATGAGAGTGAGTTCCGGGATAGCCTAGGCTACAGAGTAAGACTCTGTCTCGAGAACAACTGCTACTACTGCCAAAAAACTGATTCAAGTTAAAAAGCACATGGCCTGGGTAGGAATGGCAAGGCATCCCAACTGCTTCCCTCCGACTCAGTGTAAGAAATAGAAAGTCAGGTAGAAGGGGAGAGGAAGGAAGAGAAGGGAGTAGAGGAAAATGTATAGCTCAATAAAAACAATTAAAAAATAAAAAATAAATAGAAAATTTCAAGCACATTAGCATATACATACAAGAAAATCATGATTCGTTTCAAACTAAGGAAGTTTCCCTTTGCCTACAGTACACTTCTGATCAGCGCAGAGCCTGGGTCTCGGAATAACCTTTGCCTGATTTCTATCTTCTTTGGTAGAGTAGGCGT